TATGCCAGTTTCATGCTATTTTGATTACTATAGCTTTGTAATATAATATGAAGTGAGAAAGTGTGATGTTTCTAGTTTCATTCTCCTTTATCAAGGTTATTTTGGTTATTCAGGGGTTTTTTGTTATTCCATACAAATTTAGAACTAATGTTCTGTTTCTGCAGGAGGGAAAAAAAACACTCTAATAGAGATTGCATTGAATCATTGCTTTGAGTAGGACAGACATTTAACTATATGAACTGTTCCATCAGCATGGAGTATCTTTCCATATTAGTGTCTTCTTCAGTTTCCTTGATCGATGTTTTATAGTTTTCAATGAACAGATTTTCCACCTCCTTGGTTTAATTCCTTCCTAAATATTTTATTCTTTTTGACGCTACTATGAATGGGACTTTTTTCTCAATTTCTCTTCCTGATAAATGGTTGTTGGGGTGTAAAGCACAACTGATTCTTGAATTATTTATTTTGTGTCATACAACTTTACTCAATTCATTATTTCCAACATTTGTTTTGGTAAAATGTTTAGGATTTTCTATATATAATGCTTTGTCATTTGCAAGGAGTGACAGTTTTTCTTCCTCCTTTCTGATCTGAGTGATTTTTACTTCTTCTCTTGCCTACTTGCTCTAAGTAGGACTTTCAATACTATATTGAATAAAAGTGGCAAGAGTGAGCATCCTTAACTTGTTCCTGTTCTTACAGGGGAAGTTGTCAGTTTTTTAGCACTGAATATGATGTTCACTATGGGCTTGCTTTGTGGCGTTTATTATGTTGAGGTACATTCCCTCTATATCCATTTCATTGAGAGCTTTTATCATGAAAGTATGTGAATTTTGTCAAATGCTTTTTCTACATCTATTGAGTTGATTATATCACTTTAATTTTCTTTTGTTAATGTGAGGTATCACACTGATTTGCAGATATTTAGCCATCGTTGCATCCCTGGAATAAACCCCTACTTGATCGTGGTATATGATCCTTTTAATGTAATGTTGAGTTCAGTTTCCTAAGATTTTGTTAAGGACTTTTACATCTATGTTCATCAGGGATATGTACTTTTATCTTCTTGGGGTGTCCTTGTCTGGTTTTGATATTAGGTTAGTGCTACTGCTAAGTCACTTCAGTCATGTCTGACTCTTTGCGACCCCATGGACTGTAGCCTGCCAGGCTCCTCTGCCCATGGGATTCTCCAGGCAAGCATACTGGAGTGGGTTGCCATTTCCTTCTCCAGAGGGGATCTTCCAACCCAGGAATTGAACCCAGGTATCCTGCATTGTAGGCAGATTCTTTATCAACTGAGCTACCAGGGAAGCCTATTAGGGTAATACTGACCTTGTAAAAATGAATTTGGAAGTGCTTCCTCTATTTTTGTTTTTTTATGGAAGAGTTTGAGAAGGATTGGTATTTATTCTTCAGATGTTGATGTAGTTCACCACTGAAGCCATCTAGTCCTGGACTTTTTTGTTCATTGAGAGGTTTTTGATTACTGATTCCATCTCTTTATTAGTGATTGGCCTGTTCAAATTTTCTATTTCTTCCTGATTTAGCCTTGTTAGATTGTGCGTTTCTAGTAAGTTAACTGTTTCTTCTAGGTTGTCTGTTTCACTAAGATCTGTTTCTGGGAATTTGTCTTGTTCTTTTGTTTGGAACATATTGTTTCTTCATTTTCCTTGACTCCCTGTGTAAATTTCTGTGCATTAGATAAAACTAGCCATCTACGCTAGTCTTGAAAGACAGATCTTGTATAGGAGATGAACTCATCAATTAGCATAGCCTTTGCTTCTCGTTGTCTCTGAAATGTTTGTAATTGTCTAACCACCCTGTTCTTAGTGGCTCCCAGTGGTCAAATATGTGCCAAGACTCAGTGTCCCAAGCGGAGGGTCACAGTCATCTTCTGGATGAAGGCCATTTGGAAGTTGGACTCTCAGGCAGCAGCTGGGAAAATATGTCATTAGACCCTATCCAGGGAGAAACTGGGAGGTAGGCATTTCACCTGCTCCCTCTGTACTGGACCCAGTTATTAATACATAGCCATGAAGTGGGGGCAGGGGGCTGCGGGGTCCTTAACCCATTAAGAACTTTCTTTGCTATAGTCCTGTAGGACTCCTGAATGCAAGCCCTGTTGGCTGTCAGAGCCAGGTGATCCAGGGGTTTTCTCCCAAGCAGCAGCCTCAAAAGCTGGGCCACCAGATATGTACAAAAACTTGAGAAGGATACTGGCAAATTGGAGCAGGCCAGAGGGAGAGGGCAGGAGACATGTCCACTGGCTCCTGTGGCCTCAGGAGAGAACTGCAGTCACTCTCCAGATGCATCTAAGTTAGAGGCCTGACCTTCAGGCAGCAGCTTGTGAAGTTGGCAAGTAGAATCCTTTCAGGAAAAGATAGGGAGATGGGCATTTCTACAGCCCAGGGCTCACACCCACTAACACCTGCTTCCCTGTCGGCTATAGTATGTGGGTCTCATAGACACAAGCCTCACGGCTTTCAGGACTCGATGTTTGGGGGGCCTATCCCTCTGGGAATTAAAAATTGGGGTGCTAAATGTGGGGTTCAAACTCTCAGTCTCTCAGGGAGAAGCTAGGAGTTTGAGGTCCCTCCTGGGTGTGTGGCACTGTGCTAGGAGTGGGGTTTATGGTGACTGCGTCTCAGCCTCTCCTGCTCTTTTGATGTGAGCGTTCTCTCTTTTTGGATTTCCTCCAGAGGGAATTTCTGCATGTGTAGCTGCTCATGTGGTGCATCTGTGGGAGGAGGGCAGTTAGGAGCCTCCTATGAGGCCATATTTAAAGGCCACACCTACCCACGCTTATAAAAGGTAAACCTTAGTGAGTTTTGCTTTTTATAAATGTCAATGAATGATGGCTATGAATTATTACATTGCTGTAGAATTCCATGCTGGTTTGATTAACTTAAGAGTATTTTTGATTGATGTTCCAGTTATTAAGCCACTGATGTGGTAAGAGAAGAAAGCTCAAGCTACTTTTAAATGTTTATTAACATAAGTTTATTCTATAAACATTTACTGGAGTGCCCGCTCTGTTCTAGGTACTTGGGATACAAGTATCCAACCTTGTGGAAGCTCTAGTCTCCTAAGTAATGGACTACAAAAATAATACATACATACATACATAAAGATAAGACAAGAGCACTCATAACTTCTAAAATATTAACCTGGGAAACATCTAGATGTACTTACAGCAAAACTCCAGCGGATGACTGTAACCCAAGCAGAAGCATTTTTGTGGCTGACTCATCGGTGACATTTGGTTGCTCACTTCTGACTTCATTTCACTGAATGCTGACTTTCTGATCTGAATTACAATAAGGGTGTTGAATCTTTGGTTACTTTTGCATATTTTGTGACTTAAAATCTTTAGATTACGATTCACTGTGTGCATAGTTTTTGAAACTGTCTCAGACCTACAGGGTTTCTCTTACTTTCTCTAGGTTTTGTCTAATGAGCTAAAAGCATACTTTTGTGCTGTAGTGTAACTGCTCTATGGCTAACTTTTTAAAAACTGATACAATATGTGTTTTCTGTGTTTCACTTTTTTTATCTAGAATATCTAACAGATATTGGTGTTACAAGGATTAAAATAATATGACATTTGTAAAACACCTAAAACTAAAGAAAGTAAATTTACTGCACAAAGTAAATTTCAAGTCTGTTTTCTGCACCCGCAATAGTCACTTATTTATTTCAACTATTTCTAATATTTTAGCATAGTGAGTAGGGTATTGTGTCTTTTTCTTTGTACACTTGTGAGGAAGCAGTACTACAATAAGAAATAGAAGCAAAATATATATCCAGCAGGGCCTCATAAGCAATGTTTCTTTGTCTGTAAACCACTTGTCTCAGAAGTAAATCCCTCCGAATGATGAAAACCAAGAGATGTTTTCACACTCAACTCTTCTTTAAGTTTTTTCCTGATTTCAAAATATGTTTTCATTGTTATAAAACTCCCAAGATTACAGAAATCAATAACTTCGAAAGTGAGAAGTCCTTTATCCACATTCTCATCCCACCTCTCTACCCATACAGAGACTTAATATTCTATGTATATCCTCACGTTTTTCCTAGTTGTATAATGTATCTTTTATTAAGTAAGACTACACTGTACATTCTGCTTTGCAACTGACTTCTAGTCACTTCACTCCTCCCACTTCAAAGCTACTTTCTATCACTCGGATATTTACCCTTGGAGCGATTAAGCCCTCCTTTATCTTTTCTGTGCTTTCCTTAGCTGCCCTTTTTAGCAGGTATGATTTAAGCCAAATGTCACTATGTCAGACATTAAATATCCTTCCCATGCACAGTGTGTACAATTACCTCCTCTATTGTAACAAACGGAATGTCAATTAGCTTGTGTGCCGAACTCACACAAAACCGGACCGACAGCAGTTTATAAAGGCCTCTACCCAGGGTGCTTGAAGCATTTAGTTTAGTTGAGGCCTTTCTTTCAGTCTGCAAAACTGCAGACACAACAGAAGTGAAATTTCTGTAGGAAGGAGTGACAAGCTTTGGGGGCAAGAAAACAGGAAAGGCGATTGTGCGAAGCAGCACTTTCATAGCTGGACAGGCTATGATGCCTCCACGGCATCATCGGGGAACCTTTGGGGCTGGGGCTCCTGCCGACTGGACCACCCCCACCTCCAACCGTGACACCAGGGCCGCAGTGGGGGGTGTCCCCAGCCTAAGCCCCCCAGAGCACCAGACCTTCCAAAGGCCACGTCCAGTTCTTCGAAGGTTAAACAGGAAGTGGTCCAAACTGGATGGCTAAAGCATATATGGCCGAGGGGTAAGAACGAGGCAGCAGAAGGCCCAATCCTCCACCTTCCGCTCCTCGGCCATCACAGAGTCCACGTGGTGGGCGCCAGCCTGGAGCTCAAGTTCTGCTCCCGGGGCCCCAAATAGGTCCAACGTGACGCGTTCTGAAAGCCTCTTTGGGAAACGAAAACCTCCTGGCCCTGCGACTTACGGCTGCTTCAACCTGTTTCTTTCAGATACCACTGTCCTCATCGCCTCCATAGCGGTGGTGTCTGCCAAAACTCAGGGTAACATCTTCGCCACGTGGGCACTGCGCAGCCTGCGCTTCCTGCAGATCCTCTGCATGGTGCGCATGGACCGGCGCGGCGGAACCTGGAAGCTGCTGGGCTCCGTAGTCTACGCGCACAGCAAGGTGAGCTAGTGCCTCCGCACCCCGCGGGCGCCAACCTCTTCGAAAGCAGACTTGGGCTTTGCAGAAACTGGCTACAGCCATGAGAGGACACAGTGTGGATTATGTAAAAGTCACCATAAATATCCAAGCAGTAGTCGAACACATGAAATCATGCTCAGATTTTGATTTTGTTCCCGTTTCAAGTATTTTTCACCTCTAAAAAATCTCTCATTCTTTTTATATCTAGGAATTAATCACAGCTTGGTACATAGGATTTTTGGTTCTGATTTTTTCATCTTTCCTTGTCTATCTGGTGGAAAAGGATGCTAATAAGGAGTTTTCTACATACGCGGATGCTCTCTGGTGGGGCACGGTGAGTGCAAAAATCTGGTTTTATTTATGGGATGTTGCGAGATGTTTCCTTTGAATACAGTGCAGTGATTCCCATGAGTGGTCTCAGGAAAACTATGAATGAACTTCCAAAAGGAAAGTTTTGTGCAAATACACAGCACATATAATTATCTGGAGAGTTGCCTCATCTGTTTAGGTCTAACAAAGTTCTCTTACAAATCAACCTACTGCTTTTTGTGTGCCAGTCTGTTGCAAATAAAAACGGATAATGTTTTAACCTTGATTAAAATGTTCCCAGGCTCACTTATTTGTTTTAACTTTGTGGAGCACAGCTTTGAAGTACAAATTGTTGTGTTCTTTGTCACTCATCAGAAAGTTTATCTGAGGCTTTAAAAAAAAAAGAAATAGTAGCTGAACAAAAGCTATGAGTAAAATTGTGGTACAAAAAGGGAAAGAGAAAAGACTGGTAACCATCTGTGAGATCAAAGATTACAGACACTGTGTTTCAATTTTTTCTACTCTTTTTCCTTTATATTGTTGTTAAAGGATAGTTTTCCAAACAAGTAAAAGTTAAAACGTGACTCTCGTACACATAGAAAATAAAGCACGTGTAAATATTTTAAGTTATTATCAGTGAAGGAACTAGGAAGATGTTACAGCCAGTTCAGAGGACTATCCTAAGAACAGACGTGTATAAAGATTAGGAGTGTTGAATGTGCAGAGGCAAACCTGGCTTCTTCCACAGTGAAAGCAGGAAGTCAGAGGAACCCCCACCAGACAGGATTTACTTACACATCAATATACAAGAATTATTTTGCATTCCTGATGCAACTTACACAATCATAAAATAGCTCAAAGGCCATGAAAGGTGCAGAGCCTGCCCCCATAAAATCAGAAATCGATAACCTAGAGGAACATACTCTAAACAACACATAGTTTTCCACTGAAGCAAAAATTGTCTTTCTATTGTAAAGTATTTATTGAACAGTCATTGAATTGTGTACCTAATAAGAATGTTTTAGGATAAAGGAATGCTTTATACAATGTGTAAACTACATTTCTTTTTATTTTGTTCCTTAATATGTTCCAAAAGGGTGAAAATACAACAGCAGTTAGAGGTGTCTGAAGAGTCTCTTTGGTCCAGCGAATTTGTTCTCTTATAAATCGTTGGTAATATTTCTTGAGCGTTAGATTGTTGCCAGAATAAAAATGCATCATCTTCTTAAACCATGATTGAAGCATTAGTAAGTTTGTTTGCCAGTTTGCCTTGTGGAGCTCACTGCTGCACTGTTCCACTATTTGTCAGAAGCTCATCAGTGAGTGTTCCTGCCTGGAGAATCCCAGGGACGGCGGAGCCTGGTGGGCTGCCGTCTGTGGGGTCGCACAGAGTCGGACACGACTGAAGCGACTTAGCAGCAGCAGCAGCAGTGAGAACTAGAGCTGTCATCAAAGATGAGGATAACTCATCAGGGCTTGAAGTAGAACCTGGTTTAGCATAGCAGCAATAAAATGAATACGAATCAGAAGTATAGTCGTTTGAAGATGAAGATTCTTTTTCCTTAGATTGTCAGAGCTAAATGTCTACAAGATTGTGCCACTGATAACAAAGCATCCTGTTGGTTTCATAATTTGGTTTCCAGCTCCTTGCCCTCCCCCACAAGCAATAATGACCACTTTGAAAGAAGGAAAGTGGAAAACCCAAAAGAGAGCTGTCATCTGACATGCCTAAAACACTTTTTATGTGTTGAGAACAAACGGGAATGTATGACTCATAGTAGGGATAAACTGAGTAAACCAAGCAAAAAGGAGGTTTTTCTAGCCAGCAAGGAGAAGACAGCAATTTGAATTGTAGCTTTTGTATCGCTGTGAAGATCCTAATGTGGCTGAATGACTGAGACCCTTGGGCGCCCTTCTGTACTGAGGTCCAGCTGCTGGTGCATCCACCCGGCACCTCTCTAGCCTTCCTTCCCTCCACCTTTTCCTTTCTCCTTCCTACTGCATTGGGTGTTGAGCGTGTGTGGGAAACTCTCAACGTACTTACTCACCAGCTTGTTTCTTCCCCAGAATAACCCACGTAGCAGGTTTTCAAAGGTCATCTCTGTGCCTTTCAGGGAAAAGCAGTATCTATTCATTGATTTCATTGCAGGAATGCTATTCAACTGAAGTTTAACATGTACTTAGCGCTTCCCTGATAGCTCAGTTGGTAAAGAATCTGCCTGCAATGCAGGAGACCCTGGTTCGATCCCTGGGTTGAGAAGATCCACTGGGGAAGGGATAAGCTATCCACACCAGTATTCTTTGGCTGCCCTTGTGGCTCAGCTGATAAAGACTCTGCCTGCAATGCGGGAGACCTGGGTTCGATCCCTGGGTTGGGAAGATCCCCTGGAGAAGGGAAAGGCTACCCACTCCAGTATTCTGGCCTGGAGAATTCCACTGACTGTACAGTCCACAGGGTCACAAAGAGTCAGACACAACTGAGCAACTTCACTTCACTAACCTGTACTTAACAGAATCTTTGAATGGCCTAATTATATTTTGTTTTTTAACAACAACAACAAAAAAATCAAGTCTTGAATATAGAAGCAAACATTTTCTAAAATATTGAGCTTCTAGTAATAAAAAAGGCCTTATTGGTCCACAGTGATATTGTTGATATTAACTAACTCATTAATGAAATTGTCTGAAGCTATAAAAAGCAAACAAGAGAACTTACTGGTTCTATCCTTATAAGAAGAAGATATACTAGGTCACCGATGTGAAGTAAAACAAATATAGAATATTCCACTGTGCTTAGTCGCACAACTTAGTCCAACTCTTTGCAACCCCATGGACTGTAGCCCACTGGGCTCCTCTGTCCATGGGGATCCTCCAAGCAAGAATACTATAATGGGTTACCATGTCCTCCTCCAAAGGATTTTCACAACCCAGGGATTAAACCCAGGTCTCCCGCATTGCAGGTGGATTCTTTACCATCTGAGCCACCAGGGAAGCCCAAGAATACTGGAGTGGGGAACCTGTCCCTTCTCCAGGGGAGCTTCCCGACCCAGGGATCAAACCAGGGTCTCCTGTGTTGCAGGCAGATCCTTTACCAGCTGAGCTACCAGGGAAGCCCATGGAATGCTCTACATTTTATTATATGTTAATGAAGACCTCAATGAAATCTTTTTAGTTAAAACTGTCCTTGTTGCATGTAAGGCACACCTTGCTAACTAAGGAAACATCCAGAATATAGGGAAATGAAGGAAATGAAAGAATCCTGATTTGGTGCATCTCTTAGTGCTGGGCTTTGGTGAAAAAAAGGAAATCCCCATTTTTTTTTTTAAAGTCTGACGTAGCGACATTTAGTTTAAAATGCAATTTATAGTCTATAGATACAATATCCAGTGAATTCTAAATACTATATGTGAAACTCTTCCATGAAGAAGATGCTGTCCCCAAAGCAACTTTAGGAGGAATGTGTAGTGCAATCAGCACTGCTCAAAGCAATAACAAGTCAGAGAACTTTGGTCCCTGGAAACCATTCCCATAATAATATGTGACAATACTCAGCCCCTCGTCCGTAGCAAGGGCTGGTGTTAAGCCCCTGGCAGGTGCCCAACCACAGATGGGGGCTGCATGAATGGATATGGGGAACCTCTACAGCAAAGGAGCAAAGACCAATGCCCCTCCTGACAGACCTACAGCTTCAGGACAGACCTACAGCTTCAGGGCAGAAGGGCTTTGGGAATCAGGGTTTCAATGAACAATGTTCTGGACTCAGAAGGGGCAACTGAAGAGGCATTGTTGATGGATGTTGCTGAGGCCAGGCAGCTATAGGAGGAGAGGGTCTTCTGATTGCATGGTGGAGCTCTGTTTAACATCACTTCCTGTTAGTACTATCCTCCTTTTCAGTTACTTCAGGTTTATTCTGAAATAATCAAAGAACAGGTTTTCCTGGAGTTATTTTTTATTATGAGCTCCTTCTTTCCTGTCATTATCTTCCCTCCTTTTGATTTGCTTTAGATTTATTCTGAAATAACTTAAGATCCCATCCTCCTAAAGTAGTTTTTCCTGGTAATGACCCTATCCTTGAAGGCCAACTTGTCCTTTTTTTATTTACCACTCTTACTGAGTTGAAGATGGTGTTGTTGGTTTTCTTTAAAGATGCAACAGCAGCAGATGGTATAAACCTACTCTTAAGGTATAAACCTACTCTGAGTGTAGCCTCCACCTGAGACCTGTGCTTGACATGATTCCTTCAGTCATGTAGAGGATGTGGTGTTGGCCAGTTAGTCCTAGAATTTGCTCTAAAAACCTGGCACTTTTTCCAAGCAACAATATAGAAGGCTCTGTATGTCGTGCACACTCAACAGGTTATGCAGCCCATATGTCTGCCATGAGTTCATCCCCCTACAAAATCTAAGAATAGGAAATGGTGCCGATTTGTGGAAAGAGCAAGGATACCCTTGTCCTTGATGACACTGGTCACCTTTCTGATAATCAACCCTCCTTCCATCAGGTTTACCAGGACATAATGTTTTCTGCCACCTCTTAGAAGCTATTGGTTTCTGACACAGTAAGTCTGCTGGCACAGTAAATAGAAGTGTTTCTTACTACCAATGGAATCTTACTACCTGATGGAATCAGAAGCTTTACTTCCATCTGTTCAGGATTATTAACAACCAAGTGAAAACTGAGACATATGCCCCTGGCAATACCTTCCATACAGTCTAGTGGTTATCAACCTCTCCAAGCCCCACGCCTACCTTTGGGGCATTTACGGGATATATTGGGCATCAATCCCTGGAGAACTCTTCCCTAAGACGTCTGTTCTTAAAATTGTCACACGTGCAACTCTGGACACTTGTTCAGTGTTATTCTAATAGTATTGACCACATGCTATATTAAAAAAAAAAGACAGTATTATAGTCAGGAGACCAGGGTTCCAACCCCATCGTTAGTAGAGATGTGATATTTAGCAATCATTTAATATTGCTGTAAAACTAAGAAAATACTAGTACCAAACACAAAGTTGCTCTGTTT